GAGATACATACATACACACACACACACACACACACACACACACACATAAATAAAAAACCAAAAATAAGTCTTTTTAAAAATTTCTTCAAAGAAAATATCCTTATATTGTTTTCAAATTACCTTAAATTTTTTCCACAACTTTTACAATGGTCTTCATTATTCTCATCTTCATAACTGTTTCCTAAAATGTAGTTGAAGAAAAATTTGATGAATTAGAAATTACTGAAAACTTAGTTTGTAGCTATAGTGTATATGAACCATACCTATTTGTACACCACATTCTTTTGTTTCAATCCTCTAAACCACAGAGGAGCATCAATTTCAAGAAATGCTTGTTCCTTAAAATGATAAGGGAACTGAAGATGATATTTTTACCTATAAAAATGAAGTTCCTGCAGGTTTCCAGCATTACATCTCTGTAGAGAATCTTCTGAGAATGATTCAGCAAAGCCCATTCTTCCTGGGTGAACATCACGGCAACATCCTCAAATGTCACAGAATCCTAAACATGTCATTGACTGCATTTATAATGGGTTCTTACAATTCTGTACTATCCACACGTTTTGTTCTATGACACAGAAGTTCTATTGCTAGATTTGGGTGTGTGGTTCTGAAAAGACAGACTGCAATAGGGACACTCCTCTAACTACAGGGCACAGAGCATAGGATGTGGTGTTCCTCTGCCCCAAATTTCTTTCTACAATGCATGCCTACTTCCTGTCTTAAATATGTCCAATGACCTGATATCCAGAACAGAGGAGAATTAGCATGCGAGAGCCTGCTTCTCCTTGGAAATTCTGCTAACAAAGCTTAAGCTTTGATGGCATAAGAAAATTTAATGTTTGGTACAGATTACTTGGACATAAATGATAAATCAGCTAGCATAAAGGATTTATACAAACTCTATGGTACATTATGAATGGTTCTCATTATAAAAGTCTGTTAATCTATTCACAACTCACAGAGATAACTAGAGGATGAGCCATGTGACCCCAAATAATAACAGGCATTGAGTGTAATGAACATCCCTGGTGGGCACAAATTCATGCCTGCTGTCATATCTTGTTAAATGGGAAATGAACCCCATTCTATGTGCTTACAGGAGAACTAATGTATATTCTACTAGAATTAGATTACAAAAGCACAATTAAAAATATATTTTACTTATTTTTATTTTATGTGTATGAGTGGATTCCTTGCAAGTATGTAAGTGCGTCTGTATTGTTTAATGCTTTCTGAGGTCAGAGGAGGGCGTTGGAGTCCCTGGAACTGGATTTACCAACAATTATTAGATATCATGTGGGTCCTGGGATTAGAAACGTAGTCCTGTGGAATAGCAGCCATTGTTCTTTACTACTGAGCCATCTGCCCAGCCTTTCAAGCACAATGTTTATCACGTAACAAATATGGTATAGTTAGTATTTAAACACACTAAAAAATACTTTTTAATTTTTTTAAGGTAATGTCAAATGTAAATAAATTAAGTATAAAGGGGACATTTGCTTCAGAATGAACTCAATGTGGTCAGTCACGTTGACATGTGTGTATAGTCATAGTAGTGACAGAGGATGAGAGAGAATGTTCACATGGGTGCAGGACTCCAAGTCAGCCTATGCAACCTAGAAAACATCCATCTCAGGAAGAAAAGAGGTAGGGAAAAGGACTGGAATGGGGAAGGGCAGGAAACAGGGTCACCAAAATTCATGATTTCATTTTATACTATTAAGAGAAAATTCATTAATTGCCAAACCAGACAATTTTGTTCTGAATAAAAAACTCACTAGGGCCGGGCATGGTGGCACACACCTTTAATCTCAGCACTTGGGATCTCTGTGAGTTCAAGGCCAGCCTGGTCTACATAGAGACTTGCAGGATATCTGGGGGTATAGGGAGACCCTGTTTCAAAAAGGCCCGAAAAAAAAAGAAAAACCCAACTGACTAGGATCAGCAAGTACCAGTATCTAGCAACTATCAAAGTAAAGAATAACATAGTGATGTTTTCCTGAATGCACTTGAAGGACTTCCAAAAAAATTAGATAAAGACAAAGGGCCAAAATTAATTGTTGTGCTTTAAAAAACAGGTAATGGAAGTTCAGGGCATGGACTCAGTACGGAAAGGGCTTGTCACACAAGCTTGACGAAGTGAATTTGATTCCTAGAACAAACAAAAAGGTAAAAAGAGAGAACAGGGAAAAAACATTGTTCCCCTGAAATTGTGACATGCACACACTCATGTATACATGTGTTATACACAAAATAATATTTTAAAACGTAAATACATCAGGCCATCAACATTTGTTGCCTGACCCTTAGTGACCCATGACATAGTGCACACACATCTTCAAACTAATTCTTAAGATAAGCACTCATAAACAAGTTAAAATATTCAACTTCGGTCTTAACGAAATGATATGAACTGCAGCAGTACACCAGATAAAGACACTGAGCTGAGAAAAATCAGTTGGCCAGACTTTGACTTCACCTGTCGACTTCTCCACAAGACCAACGCAGAGCTACTGCCTTTGTGAACATCACCTCCAGATCAGTCCAGCTTTCCACCCAGACACCCAATAGGTGGCTCCAAAATGAAACTGGGTTTCACTTCTATGAATTAGAAATCCACTGGTCTAAATGGGATGCCATGGTTTTGAGTTTTGAGAAAAGCTCCTTTCACACAACTGTGAGATCTGTCACACCTACACCTGCATTTTCATTGGCATTACATATTTAGGACCTATAATGGATCTTGCACCCTCCATACCCTGGCATTGGGGAAGGACTCAAAATTTGTATAAATCTGAACCTCATGGGCATATGGTATGATGTGTATTCATACCAGAGAATGACACTCAAAAGAAATGATTCCATCAAAGTCTAGTTTAGTAAATATACTGTACTTACAGAAGAATGGGTGAGGGGTTATTTACAGGACCACGATTGACAGAAAGATAGCTGTTCCTTTGAAAGAACCCCTTACCATGTGTGAGGCCTAACAAAAGCTCCATCTAGAAGAGTTTCTGAATAACTACTAGGGAACTTCAAGGCCAGAGAGTCCAATTCTTCAGTATTTGTTTGTGTTTATATGTTAATCTTTATATGTATATATTATGTTGATAAGGGGCACTGTGAACCTTGTTTCAGTAGATTACTAAGCTTCCTAAGTTGCCTTCGGTAACATCTAACACCAAGGAGCAAAGGTGTCATAGGGAAAACTCTTCTTTAGCTCATCCTAAAAGCAATCTAATGAGTCAAAACAATCCCTATATCATTACAACAAATTCATCATAAAAATAGAGAAAAATAATCTCATTTCTTTGGAAAGCACAAAAAAAAAACACTACGATAGCCAAAATAATTCTCAACAATAAAAGAACTCTTAGAGACATTATCATCCCTAATCTCAAACAATACCATAAAGCTATACCAATAAAAACAGATGGCACTGGCATAAAAACAGACATACTGATCAATGGAATAGAAGTGAGGACCCAGTTTGAGTCCACATAGTTACAACAACTTGATTTTTAACAAAGGGACCCAAAAAACACACCAAAGGAAACAGCATGTTCAAAAAATGGTGCTAGTCAAACTGGATTGCTACATACAGAAGAATGAAACTAGATCCCCATCTTGCACCATGTACATACCCAACTCCAAATGGATCAAGGTCTTCAACATAAGACCTGATACACAGAATATTCTAAAGCAGAAAGTAGGGAATACACGAGAACTATGAGACACAGGAAAGGACTTTTTGAACAAGGCTTCTACAGCACAGATATTAAGTTTACAATTGACAAATGGGATCTCATGAAACAAAAAGTCTTCTGTACAGCAAAAGACAATATCATCCGAGTGAAGAAGCAACCTCCAAAATGGGAAAAAGAAGCTTTATCAGCTATAAAGCAGAAAGTAGGGAATACACGAGAACTATGAGACACAGGAAAGGACTTTTTGAACAAGGCTTCTACAGCACAGATATTAAGTTTACAATTGACAAATGGGATCTCATGAAACAAAAAGTCTTCTGTACAGCAAAAGACAATATCATCCGAGTGAAGAAGCAACCTCCAAAATGGGAAAAAGAAGCTTTATCAGCTAAGTGTCTGACACAGGGTTAATATCTAGAACATATAAAGAACTAAACAACAAACAAACAAAAAACTACACACCTAAAAACCAACAACCCAATTAAAAATTGGGGTAAAGAATTGATCAGAGAGTTCCCAAAGATGAAACACAAATGGCTGAGAAATATTTAAAAGTACGGTGGTGTATGCCTTTAATCCCAGCACTCAGGAGGCAGAGGCAGGCAGATCTCTGTGAGTTCAAGGCCAGCCTGGTCTATATAGTGAGTTCCCAGACAGCTGGATCTACAGGGAGA